GTAGCTGGAAATGAAAAGCCATGCCCGTGATAACGTTGGGCACTCTGAAGCAGAGCCTGGTGTCTGCAGATTAAGGCACAGCTCCGTTTCCTCAGTCAGGATGGGCAGGAGTATTTCTTACAACTGTCGTAACATTTTTCGAAGCACGTTGTTATAAATATAGCCACAGATATATTTATCCTGTCATCTTCATTCCAAATGTTGCAGCAAATACTGGTAGAATGAAAGCAACAGACTCCGGAAGGAATTTTCTCACTCCGTGTGTTCCTTCTGCTGACTTCTCCCCTGCACCACCTCCAATTCTTCACCAAATAACTCCTTGTTGTAAGCTTCATCTCGTTAGTTTGAAGGCGCTTCCCCATCCATTTTGCTGCACCGTCATCTTCAATGTGTATCACACACATTGATACCATCCTTTTTTAAATATATATATATATCTACATACATGCACATATGTATGTATAAAAAATTCAAATTAACCTCTTTCTGCTTTCTCACTGGGGTTTACAGTAGGAATGCCTTGGGGATTTCTGTATCCCAAGTTTTTACTACTTTGCTATTAAGTTTAAAAAACCCACAACCCAACAACAAAATGCTTGATGCCTGGACATTCCAAAGGCCTGACTGATATTTCCTTGTTATTGTTTTCTTTCTGCCTGAATCCATCTGCCACTTGTTTACATACTTGAATTGTGAGTTATTTGGGGTAGATAGCTTCAGCTTGCAATTATACTCAGAAATAAGCCAGGAGAATCCTGGTATGAGATAAGGAAATGTCAAAGGAGAGAAGGAGCTTCTAGTAACAGTTATTGCTTGTAATTCGGTCCCATTTTTAGCGTGTGGTTAAGTGCAGAAAAGCCAGGTCCTGCAGAGTGTTGAGTTCTTGGTGTTCTTATAAAACAAGTGCTGGCTGTGCCTGTAAATTGAGTGCAGCCTGCCTCGCTCTCTAAAATAACCTCAGAAAACATTCCCTGCCAGAAGGCTGGCATCATTATTCTAAAAATGATTAGTTTCTTGGGAGAAGCTATCTGCGTGCCTTTTGTTTGACTTATTTTTGCTATAACACGCGGTGAAGAGCTCAAATGTACATTCAGAATAAAACCTGGAATAGGGAGACCTTCATGCTGAATTGCTCCTGGAAAACAGGCTCTGATTCCTTCTAGGCTTGCTGGGAACAAAAGGTTAGAAGGTGCACGTGGACAAGCCCCTGTATTTTAGCCACGTTTTTGCGCAAACAGTTTTTTGTTTGCCTGCCCTGGATGCGCAGGATTTCGGGCACAGGTTCGTTTCTGTGGTGAATCGAGCTGCTGCCAAGAGGGAATTAATCTGTTTGCAACCGTTTGGGTGCGCGTCTAGAAATGATCGGACCGAACATGTTATCATTACGTTGAAATTGCACGGAAGTCATCAAAACTCCATGTCAGCCACCTAATTATTTATGGTGCCCTTTTTATTATGGCTCTCTTACACAGGTAGATGACATCGCTGTGTATCTGCACCCTTCTCTCTCTCCCGAGCAGCTGTCTCGTGTAAAATCACTTGTTCCATGGAACCTGATGCTTGCTGTTGTGGCTTGTGCTGTGGTTTGCTGTAAACCTCAAGCTGTTAAAGCCATTTGTGCAACGGAGAGAAGTGAAACTGCCATCTCCCAGCCCCTCGCCTGGCCTGGCAGAAATGCTCAGTTGCGCTGCCCACTGGCTAGGGAAAATTGGTCAGTGCTGAAGTTCACCTTTTCTTTTTCCTCACCAGACTAATTTTGCTCAGAATTATTCTGTACACTCTGACTAGTCAGTGTTCTAGAGGAGCCACAACTCTTCTTGCCACACTGAAGCAACTAAATGTGATTTGTATTTTTGGATTGGTGGAGCTTGCCATCACAGCGCGATAGACTTCCAGCGGAGCAGTTCCCTTTGAGACCTGTAAACACCTGTACTAATCAACATATCGGTCTGGGACTTTTATCATCCAAATACTAGCAAGGCTGCGGCATGTGGCTCCTGTTTCAGCAGCTGCTGGGATTGCGTTAACATTTTCAGATCCCAGCTCTCCCAAAGGAGAGTTGTTACTGGACGAGAGGCTTGTGGCAGCACTGGGCTCTTGTTTTCCAAAGCATTTGTCTTCCTGCAGTTTTCCTGGACAGAGCTAAAGCTTCCCTCAGGTTAAGAGTATGATCAGACAAACAAGGAGTCTTTCTGCTTGGACAGCTCTTCCCTTTCTCTTGCCAGGAGGAAAGAACCCAAAGATTACATGGAGGTGCTCTGTGAGCTGAGTGATTCCTCACTATGTTTCTTCATTTCATAGCAGACAACCTTATGGCTTATTTTGATAAGTCAGAGTTTAGTTTGCTGCTGATAAAACCCATTCTATTTGGCCCAAAGAGCACCAGGACCTCCTCAGGCTTATCAGAGCTTGAGGTGGATGATCAGTGATGGAATTACGCAAAGTGCTGTTCCAGGTTGGATTTTTGAATGTGCCAAAGCTAATGTCGTTTCTCAGCTCTTGCTGAGACTCTTTGCCTTTGAGGGAGAGGCTCAGGGAGGTACTTTTGCAAAGCAGCAGTGGAATTTTGATGTAATAAAAACATGAGATTACTGTGGTACTTAGAGGGTTTGGTGTGCTACAGCCACACTCCGCTGTGCCTGTGCTCACTGAGCAGGGCTGCTGTGGGCAGCCTCTTCATAAATAGCTTCCCCCCTCCCCGCCCCGCTTCTGGAATTGATAGATCCTAGTTTCTGTGCTTTATCTCTTATTGTACCATCTGTTCTTCTACATGCTTCTCTTCCTCTCCTCCTTGTCTGCTGATTCCGAGTTTCCTATCTGATTTTTGAATCACTTACCTCTTGGCATGAAGGCGATCGTTGAGTCAAAGAAAAACGTCTGCCGGAAGAGCTCCCTGGAGGTCACCTAGCCGAACCTCCTGCTCGAAGCAGAGATAACACTGGAGTCAAATCAGGCTGCTCAGGTCCTTGTCCAGAGGAGTTTTGAAATTATGTATATTACCACACAGCTGCACTTTCTGATACCAGCTGAATGAAATCCAACAAAATTCTTGGCAAGGCTGTCAGGGACCTGGGTAGCTTTCAATTTGCTCTTTCTTGCCATTATACCAAGCTATCATAGTTACTGGGACTGCCTGGCCCTGTTTTATTCACCATTTGAAAGATGTGGAGTATATGGTTTATTGTTTTGTTTTTGGTTTTGTTTTAAATTTTGAGGTTTATTAATGGAAGATAAAACATTGCAGAGCTATTTATATATGTGTATGTATATATACATGTCATGTTGAAGTGCTTGATAATAAGGTGAGGAAAGTGCTTAGCCCTGGCTTGCATAATTTGAATTTTATGAGGATGTGGTTTGGCTCATTCTCAAGTTTGTTCCTTAATAATGTTGTTACTTTGGTCCCTTAACAAAGAACGGCTGCATCCGGTATCTGAAATTATATTCTGGCTCACAGATGTTACAAAATCTATTAATAGAAAATTTGAGGCTAGCTTGGTGTGTATAATGAGCTAGGATGTCGCAGTCTGTGGTGGTGCCAGGGACCCACAAGAATAATTTGTCCTACGTGTTCAACAGTTCATTCGGATCCCCCTTAGAAACTCACCCGTTGGCTGTGTGTCATGATCAGAGATTTCATAATATTGCAGCATCCTGGCAATGACTTTTTACATAGCAGCCTCTCAGCTTTTAGATTTTCATCTCTTACGTGTACAGTACCGGGTCCTTCACATATAGCAGGTACTGTTGACACGATACTGTAAAATAACTCTGAAGTCAAGCACATTTGGTATAATTGCAAAAGAAATCCGTTTTCCAGCAATTTTCCTCTTGACTCTGCCAAGAAAATGTTTAAATGTATGAACAGAGTAACACAGTTAAATGGAAGGATTTTGCATCCTTGAGCTACATAAATAAAATGTGTCAGCTTTCTGGTAGGAGCATTAATCGAGAAAAACAACTCTCTCCGCCTCACGGTGCATGTTTAAGAGCAGAAGCACAAAACGTGTCATCTGCATCGCCGAGAAAATAGGGTCGTGTTTGTAATAGCTGCTAATGAGCTCGGAAGCTTTATTTGGAAACGAGGCATTGAAATAAGCAAAAGGCGCTTTTTTGTAGTGAAGCTACTTTTCCTTTGCAACCTGCCTGATACTGTATTAGTAAAAATTTTTGTATGAAATCTTTGACAAATTAATAAAATAGGCTCTTTAAATTTTAATCAGCATCATGTCTTTGAGTAGCTTTTAGCCTAGATATGTCATTCTTTGTAAAAACACCAGACTTTTCAGACCATGATAAGCATAAAGGTTTGAGTTCTCTTTCTTGAAGATACAATTGGATATCATTATGGATATCAAGATATCATTAAAAAAGCTCTCACGAGCCACGAAACGTGCTTCAGTTACATTTATTTTAACATATCTAATTCAAATGCTTGCTTCATTTAATATAACTGCGCTAGGGCATTTTAGTGTGTTCCTCGGTTAGGTCATGGAACTGAAGTTTCTTACTGTGTAACATTGGAGTTGTATCTGCAAACCTTGACTCTAATATCTTTTTATTTCTATGATTTATTTTTAGGAAACACTCCCTTACATCTTGCTGTCATGTTGGGACATAAAGGTAAGAAAAACCATGAGTTTTATTAGCTCTTAAATTATCCTGAAGGCCTGGGGGCAAGAGTTAAAGAATATTCTTCAGTTTTCCTGAATGTCATTTTGTGTTGCAGTCTAGTTCAAAGTGGAGCTTTTCTGAAGAGATGACACCATGAAGATTTGGAAAAGTTGGAGAAGAAATCAGAGCTCTTGCTTAGGCCAAAATAAAGGAGCTAGGTAGTGCATGGAGTAGGCTGGAAAGCAGTTGTAGCAGTTGGACTCTGTGAGCCTAGAACAGGGATGGTGGGTGGCCTCAGCTCCTCTGTTTTTGCAAAGTTAGAAGGAAATAGGGAAACTTGGGATATCAGAGAAGATTGAGGAACACTCTGAACTGTGGAGGCGAGCATGTGCACGCCGGCTTCTCCTTTGGTGTCCAAGCAGCTGAAGCTTGATCCAGATGGTCTCTATTGTCATGTGCAAGGAATTCGTGGTACAGAAGGATTATTAGATTTCTGTGTGTGATGGCACCCTTTCCCTTTGTCAGCACATCTCTGGTTATTAGTGTCGGTGTGTTCTTGCTGATCTGCTCCCTAGAGGCTTTTTCTCGGTGAATCAGAGTAACATCTTCTAGCATAAAACAACTCCGGGAGTGGAAATGTAATCGCTTGCCTGCTTTTTGCATGCTCCTTCAGTCGTTTGGTCCAAGTTCCTGACCCCTGCCTCGCTGTTTTTGCCGTGCGTGGGGCACAGGACAGCCGGCAGCACTGCACAGCCTCG